CAGCTGCCGATGATTGCTTCATTTGGCCTCGTCGCTCGGTCCTGCGTGTACATGTCGATTTTGCTTGTCCTGTCATTTATGTCACAGAACTTCTCGTGTAGCCTTTCAAGCATTGCCTCACAGTTACGTAGCGTCCCCAAAGTTCCCTGCTGCAGCATGCCACGCGAGCTGTACAACTTCGGCGTCTGCGCGGGGTTGCAAGGATCCTGCCCCTGGAAGCAATCCCTTGGACTGGACGTTGACCGCACCGATGCTCGCTGTCCTCTCTGCGACGGGGAAGCGCTTGCGCGCTCGTTGGAGGTGCGTCACGGTCAGGAAATCACCATGGCGCTGGTTCGGATCAAAAGCAGAGACGCGGCGGCCTACCAGTTGGCCTTAGCTCGTCTGGAGCAGCTTAAGAATCCGGACATCAAGAATACCTTCAAGAGTCGAGTGGCCAGAACAGAGCTTCGCCGACATCAAGCTGTCCTGCGCCGTCCAGCGGCCGCAGACGACCGTGAACCTGATCGAGAGCGTAGCCCGGCCAGGTGACTTTGAAGTTCTATTCGGTCGTGTGCCTGGACCTCTTCCTTCGGTTCGGATGCCGCACGGTGTCGCTCATTTCCCAGTGGCTTCTTCTTCCAACACCCTGGCCGCATGTTCGGCTTCGGTTGCGGTTGCTTTTTGTCACCATGCCCCTCTACGTTGGGCTGTTCGGATTGCTAGCACACTGTCAGCAGTCAGCAAAAAAAGGCAGTCCGCGCTTGGCGAACGCTTTCATCATGTCTGACTCGTCCAACAGACATCTTTAGCAAGCATCCTCTGTTGCAGCTACCTCGGCTCAAAGACACGACTTCTTACTCTGTCAGGCTGCTCTGTAGTCCACCTAGACATGGCAGCTGCTTCCTGCTCCGACACTCTGCCTTCTCGCGCGCTCGTGATTCACGCCAAGTGGCTCGAACCGATTTTCTCCGGCAAGAAGATATGGGAGGTCCGGGGACAGAGTTTGAAGCTACGAGGTCGAGTTTCTTTAGCGTGCGAAGGCCAGCTGGTCGGAGAGATCGAGTTTACCGACGCACTCCGCGTCGGTGAACGAGATGCTGGGAACACACTTGTGGCTGTCCGAGGCCACGAACAGCATTTCATCGCTCTCCCGAAGAACAAAGAGAAGACTTGCGTCGAGGATTTGGCTGCGATTCCTTACACACGACTCTACGCCTGGGTCATGACCAACCCTCGGCGCTATTCACACCCTATCTGCTATCGACATCCACANNGGGGCTCAGAAGTTTGTGGACCTGACTCGGCCAGGCGTCGTCCCTGCAGCAACACCAGCCGCTGGCGCTAGCGGCTCACGGACACATTCTGCGGAGGAGGCTGCGAGGCCTTCGACGTCGACGACAAGATGCCGAAAGAAGGTTCCTGAGCCAGACTCAACATGCAAGGCTTCGAAACGGAAGCGTATCGGGTGAGAGCTGCGCGTGCGTACTGCGCCTGCTGTTCCCTTGTTTCGGCCAAGAATTGGCCGACTAGACCATAATCGAGTTTAAAACTGTTTCTAACATCTATCGAGTACGAAAGTGGGTGTTGCCTTCAAGTCGCTGCTGCGCAGGTGCCTCTCCGTTTTTTGAAGGCCTGTAATGTTTGCTGGCCTGTATATGAAAAGGAGTCTTGCTGGACACTGCATGTGGCTGCGTCTCGCGAGAATAGATCTGGAGACTCCAATCAAGATCGTGTGACGTTGGTGGCACTGAGTGTTGCTGTTGTCCGAATCCTGCAGGCTCGAGCAGTTGGTTCTTTCTCAACTAGCACACGCGCACACCGATCTAGTTATGAAGCGTGGCCGAGGCAGAGGGTCCTCTAAGGCTTTCGCCGGCAACAAGAGCCAAGGGCGCGTGCGAGCGCCGGAGCCGGCGGCACGCTGGCCGAAGTTTGCTTTGGCGCCTTACGTGGACGAAGCTGGGTGTCCATTTTATACCCAGCGTGTCGATGAAGGAAAGTTCCTCCACCCTACTTCTCTTGCAGCCAGTCGTTCTGCAGTCAACAGCGAGTGGTGTGCTCGTCCCGGCATTGCTTTGTCCGAAAGTGCAGGCATTGTCGAATGCGGCGCTGACGTGCTGCAGACATACTTCCGTTCGTCCGCTGCATTTGAGGAGCATTCCAAGGGCCTTGGCTTCGAGGTGATGTCTGCGGCTCTGGAGAGTACTGCTGGAAAAGCCTTCGTTCAGAGCTGCCATCGCCTCAACAAGTTGAACCAAGAAGAAGTGACGGCAGAGACGGTGCAGGCGGACATCAGAACCTGGCACGACTTCTTGACCGAGGAACCTGAACAGAAGGCGCGCGCGGCTCGAAAGCTCGCCATGGTTGCAGGTCGACTGTATCTCTTTGCCATGGACTTCTTGGAGCAGCTGGCCCTCGTTACGCATCCCAAGCCTTTCGCGGCGGCACTCAAGACTCTGGACGAAGATCATCGGCTGACGGCCGTGGAAGCTTGGCTGAAAGACTCTGAGTCCGACAAAAAGTTGTTGAAGATGCTTTGCGCAGCCTACATGGATCAAGTTCAGACAAAACGAGCCGGCAAGAAGAAGAAAGGTCTCGCGGCCGCGTCCAGTGCATCCCCGTCTGCGAGCGCCTCATCAAACAGTTCCTCAACCAGTCCGAAGCCGAAGGGGAAAAAGCGTAAGGACAAGAAACTGACAGACAAGAAACGCAACGCGAAGGTCGGCGGGGACAAGAAGAATAAGTCCAAGCAGAAAAAGGACAAGCGAAAGCGGAAGCGCTCCCAGGATTCGGACAGCTCAAGTTCCTCTGCAAAGCGGCGGCCGGCAGGCTGCCTGGGCAAGGCCAAGGAGTCCACGTTGTCGCCTCTGGTGGACTCGCCCACGGCCGTTGAAGCTGCGACCGAAGCACCTTCCGAGTTGCGCAACTGGCAGCTCTCCGAGATCCAATCCTGTCACATGGACTGGAAGGATATGCAGGAAGGGAATGCTCGCACGGCACCCGACCTTGCCAAAGTCAACAACCTCCTCGTGGCGGTTCCCTCGGAAGTCCTAACTGCTTATGGCTTCGCTATGACCATTCCATTGGTGAAGATACCGAGTAATTGGGCAGCGATGGCGCAACGCTTGGACCGCTTGTTCCAGCAAGCTCTGGGATTCTGGGCAGCGCAAGACAAGAAACTGACAGACAAGAAACGCACCACGAAGGTCGGCGAGGACAAGAAGAATACGTCCAAGCAGAAAAAGGACGAGGAGACCACGTTGTCGCCTCTGGTGGACTCGCCCACGGCCATTGAAGCTGTGACCGAAGCACCGTCCGAGTTGCGCAACTGGCAGCTTTCCGAGATCCAATCTTGTCATATGGACTGGAAGGATATGCAGGAAGGAGATGCTCGCGCGGCACCCGACCTTGCCAAAGTCAACAACCTCCTCGTGGCGATTCCCTCGGAAGTCCTCACTGCTTATGGCTTTGCTATGACCATTCCATTGGTGAAGATACCGAGTAATTGGACAGCGATGGCGGAACGCTTGGATCGATTGTTCCAGCAAGCTCTGGAATTCTGGGCAGCGCAGCAATAGCCTGCCAACTAGGACACACTTCCTGTACAGACCGTCCTGGCTAACTCCAGTTAAGTTCACACAGGCCCACCTGAACAAGATCGCAGCTTCAGTGACGTGCCTGTTAAACCACGTAAGTAATTAGCTGTGTACTTTGTTTTATACTGCGACCTTGCTAGATCAGTTTGGGAAACCAATGGGAAGGAATCAACCCATACACCCTCAGCGGTTTCGTAGCCCACCTGTCGCGATGCCAGTCTGCGAAAAAAGCCGGCACGCTGTACATAGGCCACAAACACAGAGATGGACAGCTGTGCTGCGAGTGACATCGATTGTCTCAAACCCTTGTAGCTGTCGCAACCAACACGCTCCTGCAATCCGCTCGCACAAGCCAGCGTTCTGATGGTTCTGCTTTGTCCTGGCAACGCTGCAGGGCCTTGCTGTTTCAACCGGGCTCGCCCTGGTCATCCTTGCCAGGTTACTTCCGCGAACCGATCTGGATGCATGTTCTGCGACAACGTCCGGCTAGAGGCCGCACTCGCACGCCCTGGCTCGGACCTCGCGCGTGTCCTCGCCGTCGCTTTGCTGCATGTGTGCCAGTTCATTCGTCGAGGCAAACCGTGGTCCCATGTCCCACTATATGTCTCTCGTGTGTCCAGGACTATCTTAAGGCGAACGAGGACGTTTTCGAGCGAGCTCTCGCAGCAATTGGAGAAATATCTCCGGACGTGGCCTACTACGAGGCCGCCGCTCGTGGGCAGGAATGGCCCCAGGTGCTGCTACATCGGAAGCGTCTACGCGCTGACCCGACGCCGGCTGAGTCGAGGCTCTACGCGGATCGCGTGAACAACGATCGCCGCCGTGTGCAGAACAAATTCTTCCCCGCCAAGGTGCAACCAGCAAAGCAGATGCATGTGCTTCACTTTTTCCTCTGCTCCGAGCTCCCCATAAACTGCTTTCTTTGTTGCAGGCGCGCAAGATCCAACACAGCGGCCACCAGTGGGAAAACCCTCTCAGCCAGGAGCTGCAGTCCAAGATAGCAGACACCGCAGCCAACGATAGCGGCCTCCCCGCTGCGCACTTGGGCTTGGATACGGGCTACCTCGAGAAATGGTGCAAGGAAGGCTCCTGGAGTTATTGCCTTGGTTGCCGCCTGTTGCGTCCACGGCATCTCAAAGAAGGTCAGCTTCGTCGACCTCCTGGAGCGTGCACGGCCTCTTGTCCTTCTTGTCGAGGACCTTCGAAACCCTGGGTACCCACCGTAGAGGACGTACCTAAGAGGTTGCGAGGCCTTCATCGGGATGTGGTCTTGGCACTTCGACCACTCGAAATTGACTGTGGGCCGTACCAGCGCGGCGAGTACGGCTACCGGGTGCACACCAGCCTCGTCCGTTTCAGCTGGTGCCTCCTTGCCGTCGACGCCAAGATACAAGCTTTGCCTTCTGCACACAAGCGTAAACAGGCTCGCAATGCAAAGAACTACTTGATGCAATGCGCGACTTCGGAGTACAGGACTTTCCTAGCTCGTCAAGAAGCCTTCTTGTCGAATCACCCTGACGCCACGGAAAACGAGGCAAAGCTCCCACTAAATTTCTTGGAGGAGCCCGGTGTCGAGTGTGCCATTTGGCCCGATTTGTACTTCCACTCCGACATCTGCGAAACCGTGGAAAGGGCTACAGACGTGCGCCGCTTGATGCGATCGCACGGAGACTTGGCACCTGGTGCAGTTGCTGACGACGAGGAAGAGGAGAGCGATGAGGCCACAGCCGCCGGAGGTCGGCACAGCGTGCGCCGGTCATTCCTGCGGAAGATTCTCGGGCCCATCACCGATTACGCGGGGGAGTACGAACTGCTGCATTTTGTCTTTGATTTGTGCCTTTGGACCGACATTGGTAGCAAGCGCCACGCCCTGACACACCTGTCCATGCGTGTTGCCTTGAAAGCACAACCGTGGACGCCCGCCTATTGGGCCGTGCGCCATGCTGCCCTAGTCGATCTCCAACGGCAATGTGGGCCACCCGTGCTCTTCAAAACTTGGGCGCCGTATGAATGGGCGGCGCCGTACCATCGTTGGATCCTGCACGCCATGGAACTGGAGCAAAGGTCGCGCCTGCACCTTGCCGGACCAGAAACTCTCCACCTGGCTCACATCATGACGGAGCTCTTCCGCGAATGGGTTCACGGCGGTGCTTTCAAGCAAGGACCTGGATCAAGTCGCTGGATTCGGCCTGCACTTTGCCACCGCGATCCCTCTTTGCCGTCCCCTGTGCTTAATTTCGCTTGCCGCCTGGAGTTCCAGGACGGAAAACGGAAACTTGCCAGTCAAAGCTATCATGGGCGAGAAACGGCACACCTACATGGTTTGACTTTCGCTCATTCTCTGGTTGAGCTGCCGCTGGAGCGTCGTCTCATGGCCACTGTGCCAGCGGCGGGACACGCGCTTCGCGGATATGTGCTGGACGGCCAGGCAGGTCGCACTGGCAGTGGATGGCCTGTGCACGAGGGCGAGTCTGGATTCAGTGACGACGGCTACTTGCGCTTGCGACATACTGAAGCGGACAAGGACATGGGTATTCGGGCTTATGACGTCGAGGAGCTGGACGTGCTCAAGTTCCACCAGGACAATGTTGTGCCCAACGAAGCGATCAATGGACACGGCTTGCTCCTCCGTTACATTGCCACCTACTTGTCAAAGTTCAGCAGCTCGAGCTTCCATGAGCTTTTGGACGACACGGGGAGTACAGGCTGCGGACTCGCAGTTCGCATCCTCGCCACATATCATCCCGGCGAGCCGGAGATGTGGCTGGCTCTTGCCGCCCAACAATTTCCCCAGTTTGCCGTGGGCGGCACAGTCCGACCGATTCAGGCACCTTGGCCGGGGATGCCGGAGAAGCCCGACTTCGTCTTGAATTACGAGCGTTGCGCGTGGCGTGGAGAGGACATGTGTCTCTTGGACTGGCTGCGCAAAACCAACACAAAAGGAGATATTGTTTCCTGGGTAAAGCAAGCTCACCGGCACTCGCAGGAGACTGTCTCCCTGGAAGAATATTCGCGCAGCTGCGAGTGCAAAGGAGAGAAGATCGTGGCTGCGGAATGTGTCCGAATCTT